TTTGGGGAGTTGCTTGGGAGCTGGCCCAGGTGTTCCCAGTATTTTCTTGAGGAACAGCTTTTTCCCTTTCTCTGAAGACTTGTAGCTGGTCAAGTGTTGTTGGTGACAGGTTCTTGTGGATAGTGGTGATGACAGGGGGTTAGAGAGAATCCAATGAGATTTTTTTTCCCTTTCTTTTTTTTTTTTTTAAAAAGATTTATTTATTTATTTAATTCCATTTGTTGTTATTTTTTTTAGATTTGACTACAGAGAGAGAAAGGTAAAGAGCCACCAGGTCCTGGACTTGAACCATGGTTAGCCATGTGGAATCCAGCACCTGTAACCACCATGCCACCAGCCAGCTCCCTTTTTCTTTCTTTTAAAATTTTTTTTTTTTCATGAGTGAGAAAGGCAGAGAGAAAGACATAAATAGCAATCTCAATGCGGCCCTGATGCCATAGTCCACCCTCGGCCAGCCTTGGATCATGGGCAAACACACATCTTTATGTACATGTGTATATGGTGTACTCTGGAAGGTCTCTAGACGTGAGACCAGCGCCTTCCCTGTGGGCCAGCCTCACAGAGCATCATCTTTTCCTACTATGCTACTGTCTGTCCTCAAGGTGTGGTTTAAAAAATGGCTTTAAGGGACCAGCAGTTGGCATAATGTCTATGTCGCTGAACTCTCGTGTAGTCGACCGCAGTTCAAGTCTCGGACTCAGTGGCTTAAACTCAGGCCAGGCACGTGTGCGTGCATGCCCAGGATCCCGAGAGGAGAGTGGAGGAGAAGGGATTGTGGCATGACCATCCCCCTGAGGGGTGATTTCTCACTTTCTGTCTCTCTGTCTCTGTCTTTCTGGCAAGTGCACGCACCCTATAGCAAAAACTTCTAAAAAAAATAAATGGCTTTAAATTTTGTGTCCTTCCATTGAAAAGTGGGGTGTTTGTCCCCTCCCCCTAGAATCTGGGCAGACTTAATGACTGCAGCTGTTAGTGAATGGTGAAGTGAGATGACGTGACACCAAGGATAGGTTGTAAAGGCAGTGCAGCTTCTGCCTTGCGGCTGGGACACTTGGTTTTGGATCTCTGAGCCACCATGTAAGAAATCCAACCATCCTAAAGCTGACACTCTGAGGAAGCCCAGGCTACACAGGAAGGCCATGTGTGGGCACCCATGCTGACAGGCCCAGCTGAGCCAAGCCTTCAAAAATCATCGAGGCCCAAGTTCCTGATGATTCTAGGCCCCAGGTGTCAAGTCACCTTCAGCTGTTGAAGTTTTCCTAACTGTGTCCTCAAATATGTGGAACAGAGACAAGCCATCTCCGCTGAGCCTCTCCAAACTCCTGACCTACAGGTCCATGTGCATGGTAAAGTAGTTGGTTTATGCCCTTGAGTCCTGGGCTAGTTTGGTAATATCGATCATACCTGGGACACTAGGAGTCCAGTTTGCTGCCTGCTAACTCCTGTCTGGCCTATTGTCTCCCAGGAAAGAAACTCTCCAGTGCCCTGAGCCTTCGACCTTCCTTTCTTTCTTTTTTTTTTCTTTTCTTTTAGGTTTTGCCATAGGGTGCATGTGCCCTCTGAAGAGAGACAGAGAAAGGGAAAGTGATAAATCACCCCCAGGGGATGGCCATGCCTCGATCCCTTCTGCTCTCAGAATTTTGGGTATGCACACACATGTGCCCAGTGTGATTTTTAAGCCACTGGGTCCAGAATTCAAACCGTGATCAGCCATGCGGGAGTCCAGAACTTTAATCACCATGCTGCCTGCTGTCCTCCTCCCCACCTTTTTTCTTCCCCTTTCCACCAAGAAGTACACTGAAGAGCTGGCCCTGTAGTCTAGTAGTTAAAGGTCACTCACATGACCAACCAGAGTTTGAATTCTTGCCCTTGGGAGATGCCTGGTCTTTGAGAAATTCAAGCTGTGCCAAAAACTTCTAGAAGTTAAACCTAGTGTTGTGTGATAGGGACCCTTTCCTAGGGGAAGAAGAGGTTAGTGTCCCCCAGGGCTTAGGAAGGTATAGGCTGGGGATTTATACCAGCCTGGGTGTGTAAGGTCCTGAAGACCTCGATAAGTTTTGAATTTAACTGATGCTAATTAGGAGAGTCCAGAATTCTGGGAAGCAGGGTGGTTGTGCTTCAGTCTCAAGAGGAATCCTGGTCTCACTATTTACTAGTTGTGCAGCTTGGAAAGGTCACTTCACCTCTCTGCTCTATAGGCACCTCCATGATGCTACAGGATGAAGCCTAGTGCCGTGCCTGGTGTCTAGGAGTACTCCATAAATGAGTTATGGATTTCATTGCCCAAGACCTGAAGCATTTGGTTGTTGAGCCTTTCACAGCGAACTCCCTTCTCTGAGTACTCTAGTGCCTGCCCATTAGGGTAACCAGTCATTTATACTTGTTTGCTCCTAGGTTGTAAGTTCTTTGAGGGCAGGGCCATGTCTGGTACCCACTCTAGCTTTTAGCAAAGAAGAAATTTAGTTAAGTATTGTGAGAAAGAGTACATGTGTGGGTAGCTCTTTAGAGCCTGTGACCAGAGGTGATGGAGGAAGAAATAAAAACTCAACCTAGTGGGACCAGCAGTTAGCGTAATGGCTATGTCGCTGGACTCCCACGTAGTCAACGGCGGTTCACGTCCCGGACCAGTGGCTTAAAACTCACGCCGGGCACATGTGCGTGCATGCCCAAGATCCTGAGAGGAGAATGGAGGAGAAGGGATTGCGGCGTGGCCATCCCCCCTGGGGGGTGATTTCTCGCTTTCTGTCTCTCTGTCTCTCTCTGTCTGGCGAGCACACGCACCCTATAGCAAAAACCTCTTAAACAAACAAAAAACTCCACCTAGTGACCCTACTAAGGCATATTCTTTTTTTTTTTTTTAAGTCTGCTTAGGGTGCATGTGCTTCCTGGAGAGAGACAGAGAGAGAGGGAAAAGTGGGAAATCACCTCCCACAGGGAATGGCCATACCATAATCCCTTCTCATTTATTCTCTTGGGATTTTGGGGTGCTCATGCACACATACCTGGTGTGATTTTCAAATTGCTGGGTCTGGGATTCAAACTGCTCAGCCAGCTGTATGGATCCAGCTGCCTTACTTCCACACTTCCTGCTGGCCCACTAAGGCATATTCTTAAATATTTAATTGTGAACAGCTTCAGGTTAGTTTTCCTGAACTGTGGAAGGGGTAAGAAGAGGCAGGCCGAAGCTCGGAAGGAGGTAGAGGCTGGGACCAAAGTGTTGGAAGTGCCTGTGATCAAAAGTTATAATTGGCTTTTGTTCTTCACCAGGTCCAGCAGGGTGGTACCTCATGGCCATTCAGAGTCTGGGTAAGATACTTCTTGAGGTATCTGTGTACTCTTGAGTGAAATCCCCTATCAGTGTATTCAAGCAAGTCCCCGGGCCCAGTGCATGGCAGTGGTAGATTGTGACACCAACAGCCCATGGAATAAACTTCCCAGCATCCTGGCTTCTAAGAGCAGTCCCTTCTACACTGACTCTGGACTTGGCCAACAAAACTGCCTCAAACCTGATGAAAGTGGGGTGTAGAGTGGGAGGTTGTACAGATTTTTGCAGACATACTAACCATGGGACCCTTTGTGTAGGGAGCAGCTCAAAATCACCAACCACGTCCTTTCTGGGTGGATCCCAGTAGCTCCGACGTGTCTAAGGAAGGCCTGGTGAGCAGGGCAATGAATGATCCTCCAGTAGAGGAACATGGATTAGGCAGTCTCCCTAACATTTCGGTTAGGGAAATCCTGGGACAGGTCTGGGCAGGACAGGATGACAGCCCAGCACAGAACCAGGCAGCAGAGAAGGGGAAGAAATAGATGGAGGTGAAAAAGACCATGGAGGGAGAATCCATGGCATTTGGTCACAGTGGAGGGGAGGAGGTGCCAGAGCAAAGGGGAAGGGAGAGGTCAGAGGTTGAGGTTGGCGATCCATGTGGACTCAACCTCAGGACAGAGAGATTGACAATGCTGCTCACAGGAATGAGCTGCAGCTTTAGGGGAAGGCAATGAATCTGGTGTGTCTGAAGCCCAGCCTGGTGAAAACATGGAGGTGGGTAGAGTACTTCTGAAGCTCCCTAGAGAATTAGATTGTGAATGTGGGAGTTCTCTGCATTGCAGGAGAGGGTCGATGGCAGGGGAGTGAATGAGATTAAGAGAAAAAGGAGGGGACTGTGTCAGAACCCCAGGGGCTCCTCCCAAATGACTGGTCGCTTGGTGCTGCAGGGGATCCATGCTGGGCTAGGGCCCTGTTTCCTTCCACTGAATGCCAGGCTTCCTCCAGTGGCTTATTTTCTTGTCTCTATGGATACCATCTCTACTCAGTACGAGACCCTCTAGGTCTGTGCCAAACCTGCCCACAATCCAGTGTTATTTCTGAGCTGGACACCTTCGGGTCATACACACACCTGTGAACAGACTTTCAGAGCCTTTTCTGGGAGCTACTGAACTTTCCCCAGAAGAAATGTACCTGTACCAGACCCAGTTAATTTGACACAACCAGAAAGGGCTTGTCAATTCCTGATACCCACGCTGAGGGCAGGTAAAGAAGCTCTGCTCCTGACCACCTGCCTTGCCCAGCTGAGAACAGACAGAGAGTAAAAGGAGTAGCTCATTACCTCACAGCTGGCCAAGGGGCATCTGCCATTTCCAATTTCCTAGGGTGGAGGCTTTCCAAATCTGCTCCTTGATGACTTTTATCAGCAGTTATGTGCCACACTCTGGAAATCACTTGCAGCCCCTCCTTTGTTTTGCTGGACAAAACAGCATAAAGGTGGTGGACGGAGTGATGGTGTGGGCCCCAAGGACTGAATCACTCCCTGGTGCTGCGCCCGCACCCTTCACTGGGCTAGCCGTTTCATAACTCCTTCGACCACAGAACAGTAAGAATATACATTTATTTATGTAGGTATTTATATAGAAAAAAAAAAAAAAACAAAAAACAACAGTTGGGATGGCCCAGAGCTCAGACTCACAAGGTAGAGTTCCAGCCTCTGCAGGCTGGTGAATTCTCCAGAGTGCACTTGTCTTTGGAAGGGCCGGAAGAGTGACGGGCGAGGGGGCGTGGCTGGGGGGGCCTGGCCAGAAATGGGCGGGGATCCCGGGCACTGGGCATGGCCTGTGTCTTAAGTTATAATTGAAAGGCTGCCCCCTCCCGCCAGGAGCGCAGCCCAAGGACCCCTCTCTGTACTGGAGGCAGTGGGAAGGGAAATAGGGTCCACAAGTCAGAGCTCCTACACGTAGGCGTTTTTGCCGTATTTGCCAAAGCTGCTGTCACCTTCATCCGAGGCAGTTAGGGGCATCACGGACACGGGGGCCTTATAGGGAAGCCGGGTGCTGTAGGGAGAGGGAGGCATGAATGCCTCGGTCCCAGCCTGCTGCCCGCACCCAACGCCGCGGTCTGCCCTCGCGCTTACCTGGTGGTGGGGTTCTCATCAGTGGCGCAGCAGCTACTGGAGCAGAGGCAGATGCCACCCAGGATGGAGAGCAGAGAGGCGCTCCAGCCCAGGTAGAGGGCAGGGCCCAGCTCGTACCTAGGGACAAGGACAACACGGGACAGGGAGAGCAGCGGGAGGTGAGGCGCCAGCTCCGGACGGCCAAGCCCCCTGCTGCTCCCGAGGTGATGTTCCCTCACTCACTTGGTGCCTGCGTACAAGGGGTTGAAGAACTCCTGAGTGATGTTGGCGGCGTACCAGGAGATGGCCACCATTCCGCAGACACCTGCAGAGACAGGAAGGGGCAGCAGTGCAGCGGGCGTGGGGAGGAGTGTGGACTTGACAGAGGGGCTACTCAGAGCAGATCGGGGGTTTTGTGCCTAAGAACTCCTTTCTTGGCCCCTCCTGTTTCCTAGAGTCAACAGAAAGTTCTCAATGTAGCACTCAGTACCTCAGTTCCAGCACACGGTTCCCATCTCCCACCACTCTGCACCCCTTCCTCTTTCCTCTTTTGTCCCACACCTGCCTCCCACATTCCTACCTTTAGGCCTTGATCCCAGTGTTTCCTGGCTTGGAATCTATCACATCCAAACCCTATCCATCCTTGAAAGCCCAGCTGTCCCTAGAAGTCTCTCCTGCCCTGCCCTGCCCTGCTTGCCCTGACTTCCCTTTTCCTTCGGCATCCCAAAGCCCTAGGAGCCTGAGACCCTCCTTCACCACTTGGTGTCAGGATGCCTGAAGCCAGCCAGACCGGCTATCAGCGCTCCTCCCTGTGGGAGCTTGTCCTCCAGTAAACCTGCCACCTTTCCGAAGTCTATTTTCACACCTGGAAAACAGGACAGAACTCGCTCTACCTTGAAGGCTTACTGTGTGCACATGCAGAAATGTGTGTGTGTGCTTGTGCACTCATGTCCTAACACTAGCCCCCCTCCCCCCCCGCCGGGCTGTAGGCTCTAAGGCACTATTCAGTCTCACCTTAGAAGCCCCTCCCACACCTAGCTCAAGCCTGACTCACAGTGGGAGCTCAGGAAACACTGGATGGAAGGGATCTAGAGAGTAGCAATGAAGGTGGGCTGAGCAGGAAAGAGGGAAGAACTGAGCACAGGAGGGCGGGTGTCAGCGCCAAAGGGAAGGTGAGGCAAGCTGGGGACAGGTCAGAGAACTCTGGGGTCTGTGGCTGTCTGTCTCCTACCTCCCACTGCCATGCAGGGCCCTCCTATCAGCTTCCCCACTTACCAGCCAGCATGTGTAGGGCCCCTGCAGTGGCCGCCAGTTTGGCTTTCCTGGAGAGCACCATGTCCCCAATGGTGGTGCAGCGCAGCCCCACGATGCCAAGGAAGAGGCCCAGGAAGCCCAGGAGGATGGCGGTGATCATGAGTGCCCGGCAGGCCTGGAGGTACCCTGAGAAGGGGTGCACGGCTGTCAGTGTTTCCCCTCTGTGTCCTCTGCCCTCTGCGACAGAGCCAGCCCCTCACAGGCCCTGCATGAGCTCAGGGACAGCTCCTCGTTCCTAAAAGTCCTCAAGCCCTCTCCTCCCCCTCTGGCTCCATCCAGCCTATTGGGTGAGGAGTGTTCCCTCTCTGGTGTCTCAGCCCCTCCTGCCCCACCCACTTGTCCCCTGCAGTTGACACCTTGCCTTACACCTCTATTGCAGGGCTTCTCAGCAACTACTGGCACTTTGGGCTGCAGGATGTGGAGCAGCCTCCTTGACCTCTACCCACTGAAGGCCAGAGCAGTCCCCACTCTCTGCCCCAGCCTGCCCCCAAAGCAATGACAAAGCAAAAGCAACCCCCAGTGCTGGCTTTAGAACCCTGTGAGATCACTCCCATGTTCTATTGTATATCAAAGAAACTGCACCCAGGCACCCTGTCTCTTCCCACACCTGACTCCTCATAAAGTCCCACCTACTGCCTAGCACAGTGCCAGGCACCCTGAGCTGTGTTTCTTCCTGGAGGAAGCAGTAGGGGGCAGCAGTGGCCTGTGACAGAGTGTAGAGGGCAGTTTCTGCTCTGGCAGGTGGCATACCTGGGCCCAGGATCAAGTCAGTGTAGGTCATAGTCTTTTGGTGCCTCGGTTTCCCCTTTATCAAAGCTGAGGGAAGCTGTTGGCTCCCCTTTCTGCCCCTCTGCCCCCCTTCTCTGTCTTCGATCCTTGCCAAGCACTCCCAAGGACCTTGTACCCCTCTTCCGGGTGGGGCAGTGCCATTGGTGCTGAAAAGAAAAGGCTGGGTCCCTGCCAGGGGGAGGTAAAGTAACCCAGCATTGGGGAGTAGGGAGGAGGGACAAAGTTCTCTGGGAACACTTTTGTACTCCCAGCCACTCCCTCCAGAGTTCCCACCTAACTATTTCCCCAACTGGCCCCGGTGGTCAAAGGAGAGGAGTCTGGAGGCCCTCTCAGGGCATGGGCTGAGCTGAGCAACTGGGGCTTGAGGGGTGCACAGCTGGAAGATAGCTACATGATAGGCTTCCTCTCAGGACTGCAACCAGCTGTGGAGGAATACCGAATTCCAGCTCCCGCCCACCACTTTTTAGAACTCAGGACAGGCTGCTTAGGCCTGCAGAGGTTTACCAGCTTCTGTGAAGTGCGCTTACAACAGCGCTATGGTAGACGTTATGATATAACCTAGGCAGAAGTACCTGGCCCAAGGTCTGGAGCCCCTCTGCCCTTCCCTCACGAGCACAGCCTTGCTCCCATCTGTCATGAACACTACAACTTCACTCATGTCAAGAGCAGCAATTCCAATGAGGCCCCTCTCAGGTGGATATGCTCACAGCAAAGCCCCCTCTTCACACTGTGGTGTATTTAAGGGGCAGGTGAGGTAGGGGTGGCCAGAGCTACTGGTAGCCTCCAGTGTCTTCTGGCCACTCAGCACTCAGGGCTTCAGGCTCAAGAAGTCTGCTTTTATAGGGGTTTTGGGGACCCCTGCCTTGGACACAGTCAGTCCTGGAGAGATTACAGCTGCTTCAGGAGATTGAGGATTGCGGGGGCACAAAACCCCATGCAGGCCTCTAACCGTTCAGCATCTTTGACATTCCTGGGGTAACCTGAATGTCACACCCAGTGCTGGCCTCTGTTCCTTCCCCTACCACCCAGGACCTACAGGATAGTACCTGGAAGAGCAAGATGGCGCCAGCGCCGAAGGACCCAGTGAAGGGTGGGAAGCGACCCCGCAGAGCGTGCAGGTCATTGACTCTTGGTTCCTGGCATGGGTAGACTGAAGGGAGACTTCCCTGGGAAAACGATGGGGAGGGCTAGTCATACGGGGTGAGCAGGAAGCAGGAAGATGCTGCAGCCAGTGGAGAGAACTGTTCTGGACCAAAAAAGCTGTAGGCGCCAGCCCTCTAAGAACTTCGAAAAATGTACTCTCCTGAGAATCCCAAACACACCTGCACACACACATACCTCCTCCTGACAGCAGATGCTCAGACCTACAGGCCAACTCCTACTGCAACCAGCCCTTACGAAGAAGGGCCCTTCAGAACTCAGCACCATGGGGGGGGCCAGTAGCCCAGCCAGGGGACACCTGGGGAAGCTACTGAGACTGGACGTGTTTCCCCACCAAGAAACCAAGGCCAAGCTTCCTCCTCAGCCCACCCCAGCAATTCCACTCCAAAATCAAATGCTAAAACGTGTGGTGTGTGTATTTACATTTGCACGTTTTGGCACTTATAATCTTCACAACCCCCCTGTGAACCGCTACCATTATCCTGATCTGGCAGATGGCTACTGAGGCTCACTTTATCACTTGCCTGAAGCGCAGAGCTAGTAAAGGCAGAAGTGGCACCAGCAAACTCATTTTGGTGCCTGCACCTGTGACCATTAAGACAGAGTGTCACACTAGGGCATGGGGCCATGAGTGACAGGCCACTGGCCCAGTTCCAGATGGAGGACCATCCCATCAAATCCCCAGCACTCCTGGCCGGAGAGCTTGATCCTGGCCTCCCTCTAGCCTTTTGAGGCCGAGGCTGGATGAAAGGCAGTCGCCATCCTCCCCCAGGGTCTCTCCAACCTCCCCGCCTCCCTCTACTCCCTGAAGCTCTCCCCAGCCCGTACCAGAGAGGGCCAGCATGGACGGGAACTCCCGGCAGTTGAAGACTCCCATGGAGTCGGTGGCACAGCTATGCCAGAGGTTCTCGAAGATGGTGTTGGTGGTGATGACGCTGCCGTGCACGGTGGACACTCGCCAGTAGCTGTTTGGCAGGGTCACCCCCAGCAACAGCAGTCCCAGGGCTGCCATGAAGAAGCCAAAGGTCTCCACAGCCATAGACATGGTGGGACACAGGGCCCCCCAGGGGCTGGGGCCCCAGAAAGAGGGACGGGCAGCACCCCAGAGAACCTGAAGAGGCTTTGGCTAAGGAGGGGTGGTAAGGCAGGCTGGGGGGGGGGGGGGGGGGGGGGGTGAAGTCCAGCTGTGGCCTCTGCTGGCCCCTTCCTCGGGCTCAGGTCCGTGTCCAGGTTTCTGTCTCCCGCCCTTCCTGGGTCTCTGCTTCCCGGCAGGTCAGAGGGACGAGCCAAGCGCTCGCTGCAGTTGTTGGCGAGATGGAGGGAATAAACGGAATGGGCCAAAAGTCCACCTCCTCCCCCCCAGCATGGACGGGAACTCCCGGCAGTTGAAGACTCCCATGGAGTCGGTGGCACAGCTATGCCAGAGGTTCTCGAAGATGGTGTTGGTGGTGATGACGCTGCCGTGCACGGTGGACACTCGCCAGTAGCTGTTTGGCAGGGTCACCCCCAGCAACAGCAGTCCCAGGGCTGCCATGAAGAAGCCAAAGGTCTCCACAGCCATAGACATGGTGGGACACAGGGCCCCCCAGGGGCTGGGGCCCCAGAAAGAGGGACGGGCAGCACCCCAGAGAACCTGAAGAGGCTTTGGCTAAGGAGGGGTGGTAAGGCAGGCTGGGGAGGGAGGGAGGGGAGGGACTGAAGTCCAGCTGTGGCCTCTGCTGGCCCCTTCCTCGGGCTCAGGTCCGTGTCCAGGTTTCTGTCTCCCGCCCTTCCTGGGTCTCTGCTTCCCGGCAGGTCAGAGGGACGAGCCAAGCGCTCGCTGCAGTTGTTGGCGAGATGGAGGGAATAAACGGAATGGGCCAAAAGTCCACCTCCTCCCCCAGCCTCTGGGCTGCCCTGACTCCCCGCCCCAGGAGGGTGGGGGGAGAGGACTTGCTGGGAGGGAGTGACCAATGGATATAGCCAAGGAGGGGCCCCATGGGAGGCACTGGGAGCCAAGGGGAAAGCGTCTGTTTCTGACTCAGCTTTCATCAAGAGCTAGAGAATGGAATAAGGACAAGAAGAGAAAAGGTGACTGAGAGGTACAAGAGAGACAGGGGACAGAGATCAAAGGAATGGACACCAGCAGGTCCACGCAGCCCCAATGGAGAGGGATCGAGAGAGCAGAGCCACCCCCCTGGATGGTGAGAACAACTGCAGACACTTAGTGGCCTAGGGGCCAGGCCACTGTAGTCCTAAGGAAGGTCAGGGTTGTCTCTGGGGACGGCAGCTAGGAAGGGAGGGGAGGACTAACAGCTCTGGAGTCCCGCCAGCCTGGCTTCAGACTAGACGCCATTGTTACCAAATGACTTGGGCATGAATTTTTAGGCTCTTTGAGCTTGTTTCTGCTTCTCTTAACGCGATACTTCTACTTACTTCATAGGTTCTAATAATTGGGACCACAGATCAAAGTCCCTCAATATTGGGGACTGGCGTGGCCATGAGTTGTCACAGGGGTGAGGTGAGGCACCAGGGAACAGATTTCCTCGAAACTTCCCGAACTCAAATAGCCCCCTGTTGAGTTGATCTTTGACTCTCGGCATTGAGCTTGATCCTGCTGCCAAGGGGCCCCCAGGAGTAAATCACAGGACCAGAACGTGATCCTGTGGCTAATCTCCCCAACTGGTTCAGACTTATCAAGAACGCTCACCAGCTCTAATTAATGATGATGAATTAGAACCCTCTGGGTCCCCACCCTAAGCCATGCCTGAGCACCTATCCCAGCACAGACGTCCACATCTCCCGCCCCAGGACCAGGCTGGGACAGCTTTCTCTTTGGCAAACGGCACCAGGGCTCAGTTCTGAGGAGCGGATCCTACACTGTCACATGGGACATGAGCAAGCCGGGTGTGGGACTCCCCATTCCTCCTCCAGGTGCCTCCTCTCCACCCCCAGCCACATTGGCCTGGGTTGTGGAACGAGAGGTATGCAGTGAAGCAAAACAGGCCCACGCTGAGCCTGGCACCAGGGGGTGTGGGCAAAGCAGGCTGGGCTAGAACTGGGGCACCCTGGGCTCTCGACCTCTCACCTCCCTGTGCCTACTCCATGCCAAATGCCTGTTTCCTTCCCCAACAGGGAGCTCCCCTCCTCTCAGGAGAAGGAAGGGGTGGGAGGAAGGGGAGGACAAAGGGAGGGAAGGGCGGAGGTTTTGGAGGAAGCAGAGTGGAAAACTCCATGGGCTGAGAGGCAGCTGAGTGGGTCAGAGGAGAAGGGAGACATAAATCCCAGCCTGTCCCCTGGGCCCTGGGCCTCCTCCTCTGCTCACTGTTTCTCCCAGGATTCTAAAGCCACAGGAAGACCATGACTACCACTAGTCAAGGTCAGCCTTCACAGGAGGAAGGAAGGATGTGGGGTGGGCTGCAAAGTGGACAAAGGAGAGCCCCACAGCAGTGTGGACTAGGACAGCAAGAGCAGAAAAGGCCCATGACTGACGCCCACCCTCTGCACCCTGTGGAACATGCCCCTCCCTTAACTCAGACGCAAGGGTTCCCAAGTCACAGCCCAATTTTATTTACACTCATCCCAAAGTACATGATCTGGGGCATAAGGTCAGGTCTCAGGTTGCAGATTGTGGTTACAGGCCGTGGAGGACAGTGACGGGGTGCAAGGGAAGAACAGGGAAGGGACTGTGAGGATTGACAGGCTCCTCTTCGAGTGTCCTCCATGGGCTCCCTTGTCTCCTTGGGCAGAGGAGGAGGTGCAGGTTCCTTCAGGATTTGGACTTGGACACAGCAAGTCCTATGAGTCCAGCCAGTCCTGCCACGCCCAAGGCCATGCCTCCAACGATGGCCATCCCCACTAGTCCATCTGGGGAAGGAAAGAACACTGTGATAATCTAGGCTGCACCCCCCAAGGACCCTGACCATCACTTCTCCCAGCTCTGCTCTTCAATAGAAGATGCACATCGCAACCTGGTACAGGTCCCAAGAGTCGGAGAAAGGCTTTGGGAGGGGTAGGGCTTTGAGGAGGGACTGTTTGGAGATGTGTCATTTAAAGAGAGACCAAAGAGCCCAGGGCTGGGGGAAGGAAAAGAACTTGACAAAGACAGTGGAGGCTTTCACCTTTCTTCATGGCCTTGTCAATGAGCCGTTCCAGTTCCTTGGCCTGGTTGTTCTGGGGCTCTGTCTGCAGCAGCCCTCGCACATACTTCAAGGCCTTTTCATATTCCTACACTCAGGAAAACATATGCACACACTTATGTACACATGTACATACACACACGCATATTGGTACCACTCAGTGTCTAGCATTCCTCCTGTCCAACTGAGGGCCCTGGAGGCTCCTCCCTCCTCCCCCTCCTTCACCCCAGCCCCACCCAGTGGAGTAGAGTCCACAAACAACCCAACTGTGTGGGGGTGATAAGCTGGGGGAGATAACAGCCCAAGGCTTGCAGCTGCACCCCAATCCTGACGTCACCTTGCTCCCCACACCCTTAGCACCCTGATCCACTCTCATCTTTCCTCAGAGACCTGATCTGATATCACCTTGCACCTCTGTACCTTACACCACCCCCTGTCTACTGCCCTTCTTCTGCCTTCCCGACATTCAGGGCTCTACCCCAAAGGAGGAAAATGAGGTACCAGTGTTCACCCAAGTAGGGTGGAGCAGGAGAAGGGAGCCCTTTCTGCCTTACCTTGAGCCGGTAGTTTCCCACAGCCAGGTAGAAGACATAATCCCGCTGCTCCTCCTTGCTCCCTTTGGGCAGCAGCTCTGGGGAAGGGAGAAGAAAAGGTGAAACTTGTTTCTGGTTTGATTTTTGTTCTTAAGAGTGATTTTTGCTATAGGGCACGAGTGCTTGCCAGAGAGAAAGAGATGGAAAGTGAGAAATCACTCCCCCAGGGGGCTGGACATGCCACGGACTCTTCTCCTCCATTCTCCTTTCAGGATTTTGGGCATGCACACAGATGCACTCAGCATGAGTTTTAAGTCACCGGGTCCAGAAGTTGAATTGTGATCAATTACGTGGGAGTCCAGTGACATAACCATTACGCCATCTGCTGGTCCTTGTTTGGTTCCTTAATACGGTCTCCCAGAGACTCCTTCCACTCTCTGAACCCCTCTATGACCTGGGAAAGTCACTCTAGTCATAACACCCGTGACAGTCACCCTGGCAGCAATATTAGTCAGCTCTCGCGTTTATCCTGGTGAACTTACGGGAAATCAAGGCACTGGAGAAACCAAAATGCAGGTCAGTTCTGGCATCTTCTGTGTGTATGTGTGTGTTTTAGTTTGCCATAGGGCATGTGCACTTGCTGTACAGAGACAGAGCAAGAGAGAGAGAGAGAGAGAGAGAGATACCAGTCCTCAGAGGGGATGGCCATACCAGTCTCTTATCCTCCATTCTCCTTGGGAATTTAGGCATGCACACACATGTGCCTGGTATGTTTCTCAAGCTGCTGGGCCTGGGACTCGAACAATACAGGTAGCTATGTGGGATTCAGCCACCTTAACCACCGCATCACCTGGCTGGCGCTGCTGTATGTTTTAGCTAACAGTTGCCTGCTGTCTACTTATTAAGTTTGCATTCCCTCCCCTTTTAAAAAAACAGCTCAAAACTCACCTCAATTAGCCTTCCTTAAATGATCCTACCTGATACTTTCTTAATTTAGTGACTTCTCAGAGGTTTATGTGCTCAGTTGCACTCTATGCACTAGAATTTGTCCCTAGTAGTTCTATGGATGTTTATAAATCATCCCAAGTGTCTATACTGCCTGCCAACTAGGTTGGCAATGTTCAGTAAGACCACTTCTTCTACAGCTGTGTCCTGCTGTAGAATAAGCCCAAAAAACATGAATTGGCAATTGGCAAACAGACAAATGTAGAGAGAGACAATCTGCATAAGGATTCTTATTTGTACAATTTACAATAGGTGTCCTTTGCTTGTACATTGATGGTTTGCTTACAAATGAACACTTGACCAGGAGAAAGGAGGTACAGAGCAATCAAAAGGTCAAGAATTGTGGCCTCTGACAAATGTTGATGCAGCCAAGACCAATAAAAAATAGGATTCCAATCTAAAAGACACCAGGGGTTACCAGGTGGCATGGGTTAAAGTGCTGGACTCTCACATGGCTGACCATGGTTAAAGTTCTGGACCGGGCTTGAAAATCAACAGGTGTGTATCCAAAATCCTGAGGAGACTAGACAAGGGTTGTGGCATGGCCATCCCCTGGGTGTGTGTGTGTGACTTCTCACTTGTAGCCTTTTCGCCTCTGGCAAGTGCACACACCCTATGGCAAAAATCTAAAAAACAAAAAAAAAAAAACAAAAACAAAAAACACCATTAGCTCACAATTTTTTAGGATACTGTACTGTACCTCTTCCACATCATCGCCATGAAAGGTTTTCGATTGCAGAATAAGCAACATGGGGACACTAACAGCGTGGGACTGGGGCTCACAGGATAGAAATTTCTAGTCCCAATTCAGCCATTAATCAATTAGTTGTGAGACCTTGGCCAACTCACTCTCCTCCATCAGGAAAGTCCTGTGGGGGCAGGTATGCAAACAATGATGAGATGGTAATTAGCCAAAAATACACTAGTGGAAATTGGGTAAATACAGCTAGCCCTTTGCTACAGTGAATTTACTGGAAATAACAGGTGACTGTACTATAGGGGTACATGTTGAAAAAGAATCCCAGCACCTCAGAAGTAGCAGTGAAGAACGCCAATGGCAGCAGAGGGCAGACCAGGATGGCAGTTGGGAAAGGGAAGTTGAGTAACCAGCACCTCACCCTCGAGCAGTGCGATGCCTTTACGGATGTCATCATTGTACTTGCTCCGCACCAGGCACCAGGCGTACTCAAACTGTGTGCTCTTGGAAACCGAACCTGCCGCCTGCTCAGACTGAAATTTCTTTTCAAACTTCTGCCATAGGAGAGGAAAGGAGAGGAACCATTTAGAAACGACGGGCACCAACCATTCTCTATCCGGACCCGGTGCCCATTTCCCAGTTACATTTCACCTTCCTGTCTCTGCCCTTTTTCTCTCGGTCTTGGTACCTGGCACCCTGGCTTCACTCAGTCTGTGGGACTCAGGCATTCTGTGTTTCAGGGTTGGGGGGGCCAGCTCTTTGGACCGAGGCTTCCCTTTCCTCCCCCTAGTGGTACCGAGCGGAGATGCCATCTGCTGGCAGCTCCAGGCACCGCTCCCAGAGCAGCTGACCCCGAGTGGCTGAACAGTAAACACGCTGTCTGAACTGCTCAACAACAACCCACGCAGTCATTTCAGCCTGCTGGCCCCGTACAGCCCCATCCGCCGGGTCTGGACCTTTTCTTACCGACAGAACGGGAATAAAAATAGTGCCTCCTAGAGCTACAGACTGAGATCTGGCATGCAATGCACCTGGTATCGGAACGACCTCAGTAACTGTGACTTGTTACGATGGTCGCTGTGGTCCCCAACACTGAAAGGGCACTTTGAGTTTCCAACTCCTGCACCAACTCAGAGCCCGTCAGTCTTTCCGAGCCCAGGCCTTCAGTCTGAGGAGTGGAAGTTCAAGAAACCACAACTCCCATTAGCCTCTGGGGCATACGGGCGCTGCGGATAGAGGCCTGACGCTGCAGAGGCTGCCGGGAGCCGTAGTTCGGTTTCCCCTGGAAAGTCGATGCTGGGCAGAGGGGTTGGCCCCCTACCCGACTCTCCTCGCGACCCGCCCTCCAAATCTTCCCTCTCCCTCCCTCGGGTCCAGGCCTCACCAGCAGGTCGTCCACAGACACCAGCTCATTCAGCACGGCCTCCATGGCCACCTCCCCCGCAATCCTCACACCACAGACTCTACTGTGCCACAGACTCCATGGCCCAGTGGCGGGGGCGAAGAGGCACTTCCGGCGTCCGGCGGATGCGGACCGTCCTGGCGACGCCCCGCCTTCCTCCCAGCGCGGTCGGCGCCGGTGGGGCTGCTAATGCGCATGCTCGGACGGATAGCACCCCCCCACACACACACACGCACACACCCGCCCACCGGGCGGTGCGCTGCGCGACTAGTTAGAGCTCGTGTTCTCTGGTGCACTAGCCTGTACTCTACGGAGGATGCCCGAGTACAACTGGAGACTTCTTGGGAAAAGGATACAAAATCGGCTAGAGCTCACATAATTTTAAGGGCCAGCATAACGCCCGCCATCCTTCCAACCCCCGCCACCCTTCCAACCTCTCCCCTTCCTCCTACCCCCCTGCCTGACGAATTCTAGGACCCTGGAGTCTACGGTGACTTTACACTGTGACAGTATCATAACTAGTACTAGGGTTTCTAGGCCTTCTGTTGGCTCTTACAATACAAGAGGAAAAATAACCGTATCTGTTAACCTTACACCCAGAGACTGAGTACATAATCTGGAATACTATAAATAAAAAAAAATTTTTTTTGAAGAGAGATTTTTGCTATAGGGCACAGGCGCTTGCCAGAGAGAGGCAGAAAGGGAGAAATCACCCACCACGGGGGTGGCCACGCCTCAGTCCTTTCTCTTCCATTCCCCTCTCAGGATCTTGGGTATGCAGGCACAAGCGCCTGGCTTGAGTTGTAAGCCCTGAGTCTGGGACTCAAACCAAGGCTCACTATGTGGGAGTCCAGTGACATGACCAATACACCATCTGCTGTTCCCTATAAATTGGAATTTTAAGAAAAACTGTTGTCCCCATAACCTGAAGGGTTGGTTGAATCTTTTAATATATTTTTTTTTTTTTTAGAATTTTGCAACAGGGCACTTGCCCTTGCAGGAGAGGAAATGAACAGAGAGAGACTGAGCAGGAAAGTGAGAAATCACCCCTGAAGGGGGATGGCCATACCGAAATCCCTTATCTTCCATTCTCCTCTGGGGATTTGGGGCATCCATGCACAGGGTCCGGCAGGCAAGTGAACTGCAGTCTGCCACATGGGAGTCTAGTGCCTTAATCACCAGGGTACCTGCTGACTCCCCACTCCCCTTTAAAGTCTTTTAAATATTTAAATAAACCACTTTCTGGGGGCATTCAAGGGGGAAAGCCTGACACACAGGCTTATGGCAATGAAGTGCAATCAAAGCACGGGGAGGGGAGATGTTGCTATTTCCTCTGGCTTCAATGTTCTATAAAGTGATGTGACTGGATAGTTAATGACTTAGTAATTGTTTTTACCTTGACGCTCAGTATTCTAGTGCACATTTGAATGTAAGTTCCATGAAGGTAGAGGCTATGTTTTGTTTATCCAGCATCTAGTGCCAAGGCTTGGCATATAGTGAATGCTCAAATATTTGGATAAACACAAAGAATTAAGTAACTGTATATAAGGCAGTGGATTATCATCCAAATGCTTTTCATGTTTGCAAAGCCTCATTAATTTTTTAAAACATTTTGGCCATAGGGCACATGCAATTGCAGGAGAGAGGCAGACATGGAAATGGAAAGTGAGAAATCACCCTCCACAAGGGTTGGTGACACTGCAATCCCTTCTCTTTCATTCGCTTTTGAGTATTTTAAGCATGCACACACACACATGCCTGACTTCTTTTTCAAGTCACCAGGGCCAGGATACTAACTGCCACCATCAGGCATGTGGGATTTGATTCCCTTAACCACCAGGCCACGGAGCTGGCCCCTAAACATTCCTTTCTTTGCTAGCATGGTGTTTATGTGAGCCACTGGAGTACTGTTGTGTGGGCATAGTAATAAAAACCGCAGGAGCCAGAAATCTCACTCTGTTCTCATCAGCTTTTTCCCATATAACAGAATGCGCACACATGACATGTGGCCAACAATCATACCCTGGCTGGTGCTATTAGTAGCTCCATTTGATCCATGAGGAGACTGAGGCTCAAAAAGTTTGAGTAACCTGGCCTAGCCTTGGAGGGGCAGTCAGTAGCGCACAGGATTACAGTGCTGGAAGTCACATAGTCAACTGTGGGTTCGGATCTCCTGCTTGGTGGACCTGAAAAACACTGAGCCTACCTAAGATCCTAACAAGCTGGCAGGCTGGGGGAAGGGGAGCACAATAGGAGTGGACCCTGTTGAAAGTGTCTCTCTCTCTTTCTCACGGTATTACGAATTTAAAAGGATGAAAAAAGGGTTGAGGAACAGAGCTGGCAGTAGGGAAGCTGGAATTCAAACTGAAACCCTGCCCTGCACTAGGTGCCTGCTGCCTCTCTAGGTGAGAGGAGATGGTGCTACGTGCTCAGAGAAGAGGAGATATCACTTAAAGAATACACGGCAGGGACGGCTAGAACAAATTCATGAGCACACTGTTTGGCAAAAATATTTAGGCCTACATTTGTAAATTTGGGGGTTGATTAACAATAGAGAAGTCCCTACTTCCCTTAAGCAGTAGGTGAGCTAGGAAGAAACAATCCAGGTTAATTTGAAACCAAAACAGGCAGAGCAATCACAAGAAACCATTTTTTTGTGGGACCAGCAGTTGGCATAATGGCTATGTCGCTGGACTCCCATGTAGTCGACCATGGTTCGAGTCGTGGACCTGGTGGCTTAAACTCACGCAGGGCACACGTGCGTGTGTGCTCAAGATCCCGAGAGGAGAATGGAGAAGGGATTGCAGTGAGGCCATCCCCCCTGGGGGTTGATTTCTCGCTTTCTGTCTCTGTGTTTTTCTGGCGAGCACATGCGCCCTATAGCAAAAAACTTCTCAAAAAAAGAAATCATTTTTTTTTTTTTTGCTAGAACAAGAGTAGAATTAAAAACAAAACCCCAAACTACTGCCAGTTCTGCTAAAACTATCATAAAATTAGTTTCAACTTCTTGGCTAGTAGCCTGTGTTTTTCATTCATATTAATCAGTTTGTAATTATGTAATTGTGTGATGATGTGATTAATACCAATTTCCTGTCCTAGATTGGAAGCTACTTGAGGGCAAGGTGTCAATTTTGCTTATATGATGCTCCAAGAGCCAGCTCAGTGTTTAGCGCCAAAAGATGTTCCATTTGTAGTTGTCACATAAATATAGATTGCTCTTGCCATTTTTTAGAAAGCAATAAGGCAACATATAGTAAGAGCTATAAGTAAGACATACTACATTATTTCGCTAAGTAATCTACTCCTTTGGGGAAAGGTTCAATTAAGTGGGAAAAAAGAAGAAAAGGGAGACATTTATTCAGACATTCTCTGTGGTGGTAAACAAACAACAGAAACAGCAGGGAATGGTTTATTAAATGAAGATGCATCAATTTAATGGAATAATATACATCCTTAAAGTCAGTCATATGAATTCTATGCATATGGATGGTAATATTCAAAACAACAAAAAAAAAACTATGTACTTCTCAAATTCAGTCATGTGGGCGGGCAGAAAGGAAACTGCATTTTTGGTTGGTGAAACCCAGAACTGGTATTTGTTAGCAGATGCTCCGCTTGGGACCCTCCTTTGAGAACACCAGCAGTCGAAGCCTGTGAAGGACTACTGCCCTTCAGCCCTTTGTCAGTGGTTAGCCCAGAAGTGCTCAGCAAACAGTCAATGAACATGATTTCGCGGTGTTCTTCCGATTTTAAGGGACCCAGCTCTTCTATTTCCCAGTATCATCTGCTATCCAATCCTAGGAAGTTCCTACCAACCACAAACTCATTCATTCATTCATTGATTCACCCAAAAGACATTAAGAACCTACTATGTGCCAGGCACTCTTTAAGTGCTGGGTAAGAGAAATGAACAGGCATAGTCCTTGCTCTTGTGGAAATGACATCTTAGTGGAAGAAACAACACTGCTAACTAATAAATATGTAATATGTCGGGCCATCCCTGCCTCCATGGTCACCATCCTCCAACGGCCTGCAGCCCCTTCTTCCTCAACCCAGCCTGGTTGCCAGGAATATTTCATATTTCAATCAGAGCTCCTATGTCCTGATTAAAAGACCATCTAGGTTACTCAGGATACTGCTTAAATTCCTTATCACGCACATGAAGCACTTGAGGATAGCCCCTGCTTACCTTTTCAGCTTCGTGTCTAGGCACCCACGCACCTGCACACGCAACGTTTTCCTGACAGCCACTTTCTTCTATTTGGAACGTTCCTTCCACCCGCAGTGCTCTGCCAACTGGGAATCCCCAGGCACCGATCGTGCGAGTGCCTCCATGGCGAGCAACTGCTAGGCCCCAGGACGTTACCTTCCAGCAAAGCTTTCTTCTATCCGGCCCCCCGCCCCTCCAGCTCCTTGGAGATAGAGCATCCTGACTCGCGGAGTACGGCAGTTATGCAGTCTTATGGTCCTTTACGTGCACGCGGACTGTGCCTCGTTCATCTCCCTGTCCAAAGCCAGGCATCCAAGAATCGTTTCTTGGGTGAATAAAAGTAACCACAGGTTTCCCAAAAAGGACGCTCTGAACCTTTGAGACGCCTGCACTTCCGGGTGGCCTTTCGGTTGGCTCCGGAGGGAGAAAAAGAGAAGAGGATGCCTCCTTAGGGACCGTTCTAGGAGAAGAGCTCGGTGGTCTGGAGGACCCGAAGGGACCGAAGTGGAGCGCATGTAGTCGGCGTCTGCGCAGTAGCCGCCCTCGGCAGAGGCGGGGCCTAGCAGAGCCCGGGGCGGGGCGTTGGGGACCCGTCGGGACAGTTAGCGCTGCTCAGGAGGGGCGCGGCGCTGCGAGACAGGGAAGTGGAAGAAAGGGGTCTTTGGCTTTCAACAGGTTTTCAAAGTAGTTTGTGATTCCAAAAGGGTGGAGGGAAAACAATGACTAAAATATATACACATATTTATATAACTATTTAATATATGTAATAGTATTCATATAATTAATCATGCAAATACTTAATATAGTTAATGCTATATATAAAAGATAAAAAGTCCAACCTTAAAAACCAGAAAATATTGGCTTAGGCAAAAATGAAGCGTAACACCTGTCTGGTCCCTGTTTCTACCAGCTTGTCTCCTCCCCTTCTC